GTGCTGAAGGACTATGACTGTGAGATCCTTTATCATCCAGGGAAGGCCAATGTGGTGGCCGACGCCCTGAGCCGCAAGGTGTCGACGGCCCCTATCAGAGATCTGTGTATGAGGATGACAGTGATCACTCCGTTGTTGGAGCGGATCAAGGAGGCTCAGATGGAGGGCCTCAAGGAGGAGAGGCAGAAGTGTGAGAGGATAGTGGGCCGAGTAGCTTCATTTGATTACGACAGTCGGGGTTTGTTGACGCTTCATGGTAGGTGTGGGTACCGTACTGGGGTGGGGTACGGCAAGTATTGATGGACGAGGCTCATAAGTCTCGATTTTCTATCCACCCAGGAGCGACGAAGATGTATCGAGATCTTCGATCTGATTATTGGTGGCCCTGCATGAAGCGAGATGTCGCTTGGTATGTGGAGAGATGTTTGACCTGCCGGAAGGTCAAGGCGGAGCACCAGAGACCTCACGGCAAGATGCAGCCGTTAGACATTCCCGTGTGGAAATGGGAGGATATCACCATGGATTTTGTCACCAAACTCCCCAGGACCGCACGCGGGGTGGACTCGATATGGGTAGTAGTGGATCGGTTGACGAAGAGTGCCCATTTTATTCCGATTCAGGAGAGTATATCGGCGGAAAAGTTAGCCGATATCTATGTGCGAGAGATTGTGGCACGTCATGGAGTGCCGGTATCGGTGGTGTCGGACCGAGATGTTCGTTTCACGTCCAGATTCTGGAAGCGATTCCACGACGAGATGGGTACTCGTCTCCATTTCAGCACCGCTTTTCATCCTCAGACTGACGGGCAGAGCGAGAGGACGATTCAGACTCTCGAGGACATGCTTAGGGCATGTGTTTAGATTTTGGGGGCAGTTGGGATACGTATCTTCCGTTAGCGGAATTCTCGTATAACAACAGTTATCATGCGAGCATTGATCGACCTCCTTTTGAGATGTTATATGGCAGGAAGTGCAGGACCCCGATTTGTTGGGGCGAGGTCGGTCAGCGAGTCATCGGGAGCACCGAAGTGGTGCTCAAGACGACTGAGTTGATCCAGCAGGTCCGTAGTAGGCTGCAGACTGCGCAGAGTCGGCAGAAGAGCTACGCCGACAGGAGGCGTTCGGACTTGGAGTTCCAGGTGGGAGATATGGTTCTTCTGAAAGTCTCACCTTGGAAAGGTGTCATCAGGTTCCGGAAGAGGGGCAAATTGGGCCCCAGATTTATTGGTCCTTTCAGGGTTTTGGCCCGGGTGGGTCGGGTTGCTTATCGGTTAGATCTCCTGAGGAGCTTAGTCAGATACACAACACCTTCCACGTGTCGCAGTTAAGGAAGTGTTTGGTGGATGAGACGCAGTCGTTCCCTTAGAGGATATCAGGTTGATAGTAGCCTGAATTATATCGAGAGACCGGTCGCGATTCTGGAACGGAAGACCAAGACCTTGAGGAACAAGGTAATTCAGCTAGTAAAGGTGCAGTGGCAGCACCGGAAGGGGTCTGAGTGGACGTGGGAGGCTGAAGAGGAAATGAGAGCGCACTACCCGGAGTTATTTGCAGATCCAGCCGTAGCAGACTTCGAGGACGAAGTCTGAGACAAGTGGGGGAGAATTGTAACGACCCGTTCCCGGTATGTTGATTTATTGGTAATTATAGTGAGTTTTTCAAGAGGGACTCGGCGAGTTCTAGCCCGACTCGCCGAGTAGGGTCACGCCTGAGGGCACGCGTGAGCCGGGGACTCGGCGAGTCCATATCCCTGACTCGGCGAGTCCATCTGTCTGGGTGAAACCCTAAATTCCCCGTGTTGCCCACTATTTATACCACCTTATAGCCCCCATCCTCGCCTCCCTCACCCTGAGAACGCAGTGTAGAACCCTAAACCTCCCTTGAAGAGCTTATATGTGTTTTGGTGCCATTTTGTGAAGGTGTGAAGAAGGAGAAGAAGGAAGAAGCAAGGAGAAGTGTTGTAGTGCAAAGATCCAAGGCCAAATCAGAGTTAATTGAGGTATTTTCGGAGTTCCATCTTGTTATATGCTTTAAACTTCCATTAGAGCTCTCCTAAGAGCTAGTTGATGCTTGTTCCAAGCCTTACACTTGCATGAACGTCTTATTAAGTCGAAATAGCTATGGATCTGAATGTTGGGGTGTTGTAGAGCCCAGATCTACTGTCTTTTTGGAGTTATATTGCATGATAACCATAGATCTACCCATTTTATGCATCTTTTAGCCTTATTTCCCTTATTCATGAGGTTGTGCACGTAAAGTTGGAAACTTTACGTGGTAAATCAGCTTATTGGACTCAGATCTATCAATTGTATGCATTGGATTCAAACAAAATCAAGTAAAAATCAGTTGCATGGCGGCAACTCGGCGAGTCGGAAGAACGACTCGACGAGTTGGGTCGCGAGTCCCGAGTTCTTCAGTTTTATCAGTGTCGAGTGGACGAGGTGAGTTAGAGAGTGGACTCAGCGAGTTGAGGGTGAACTCAGTGATGGAGGGACTCGGCGAGTTGTTCATCAACTCGGCGAGTCCAAGGCAATCTTCTTGGGATCAAGAACAACTCGTCGAGTCTGTTCATACGACTCGGCGAGTCGGATGAAGATTGTCTGAGTTCTTGGATCAAGAGGGTACTCGTCGAGTCGATGCCAGACTCGACGAGTAGCAGTGAGTAAAAGTGAAAAGTGAGAGTGGACTCGGCGAGTCAGCCCAAAAGATAATTGACTTTGACCAAGGTTAAAAGAGTCATTTTACCCCAAGCGCAGTGTTTAGTATTTGATTGAGTGTGTTTATGGACTTGTAGCCGAGGAGATTCAGGAGCAGCCGCCGTTAGCTTTCCGAGCCACACACTCAGCAGCCAGCTTACGAGGTGAGTTTCCTTCCAGTAGGAACGGGTCTAAGGCCACAATGTCGGCCCGTTCAGTTAGCAGTAGTTTCCGGATTTAGGTCCGATGCAGTAGTTAGTATGTTCGATGCCTTCGTGGTTCGAACAGGATTTGTGTGCTATGTTTTATGTGTTAAGTATTGTGTTCCGGGCCACAGCCCAATGTAGCATGTCATATATGTGTTATGCTAGTTGATGTGTTATGCTATGCCATGTTCAGTCAGTCAGTTCCGGACTTCGGTCCGATGCAGTTAGTTCTGGACTTCGGTCCGATGCAGGGGACAAGGTCCCAGTCAGTTCCGGACTTCGGTCCGATGCAGTTAGTTCCGGACTTCGGTCCGATGCAGGGGACAAGGTCCCAGTCAGTTCCAGACTTCGGTCCGATGCAGTTTCCGGGCTTCGGCCCGATGCAGTGGGCAAGGCCCAATATGTGTTTATATGTTATTGTATGGTATGTGGTAGTTTGGGGGAGCTCACTAAGCTTCGTGCTTACAGTTTCAGTTTGGTTTCAGGTACTTCCGCAAGCAAAGGGAAGAGCTCGGGGTGACAGCATCGCACACACCACAGCATAGCTTTTATCCTGGGGATGTCTTTTGATGGTTTTGGATTGATGTTGTATGATATAGTTTTCCGCACAATATTTATTATGTTTTGGGGATACATCGCGTATGTTTTATGTTATGATACTTATACTATGGTTTTGATTATATGGAAAAACGAAAATTTTTGGGTCGTGTTTTTGGGTCGTTTCAGTTTCAACTCTGTTTTCATCGTTCTTTATATACACGAAAAGGTATTGAAAAGACCTACAATCATGTATACTTACTTTTAATTTAAAACACACCAAAATAAAATCCTTATTCCAAGAAAGAATTCTGAAGCATTGCCTTTCCTGTTTTATGCTTTGACTCCAAAACACGAACCAAGGGTTCAAATTGAATAACCAATACTATCAACATCCAATAGGGTATAAACCATATTCCATTGTAGCCCAAGGCATTTACTTGATGTAAGGTCACAACTTATAATATGATGAATCAAAGACTTTATATGGTGACTATCAGCGTTAACGCCAACAACAACACCAACGTCAGTGCCTCAAGCCTTATCAGTATCAAAGTGTAGATAGTTTATCTGTCACACCCCGAAAACCGAAGGCGGAAACATTTCCGGGGCGGACTCCATGTTAAGTATCAAATCCAATGCACATATAAGTAAAGTAAATAACCATTACATTACATATGGAAATTACATTTGTTTCAAAAGTAAAGTTGTACAAGCGATATACATATGCATCATATTAACAAAATTAAAGACGAGATCTTCAGTACGCTCCGTCTTCTCCAAAAGGATTGTTGGGTACCTGTCTATCGCTGACTTGAGAATACAAGCGGTTTGAAAATCAGCATAAAGCTGGTGAGTTCATAAGATGTTTGTTTTCTGAAAATGTACTAGTTTCCTTTAGTTTACCAAAGAGGTTGTTATCCAAGAAAATCCCATGTTTTCTTATGTAAAGTTAATTTAGTTATCACTTGTTACCAATTCGTTTACGTGTTGTATTTTACCCCAGGAAAATCCCATATTTTCCTAAATGTAAGACCAGTTGTATATTACGGAGTATAGTTTAATACATAAAACTATATATTGAGAATCATGAGATTACTATCCCGAACTAGATATAAGTTAGTTTGATATATGTGAACTATAGATGGAAAGTAGTTTGAAAACCATGGGACTCACATCCCGTACTAAGTACAAGACAGTTTGATATACATGAAAATATAGATTGAAAACCATGGGACTACCGTCCCGTACTAGATACATATCGTTATTTCTATGTTGTCCACTTGATACTTCGCCATGTGGCTCAATACCATCATCGGGCCCTTCATCATTGCACAGAATATAAGAATCTTCTTGCGCTATCTGAAAAGTTGCATCACGACTACCGCTCATTTCAATGTAATTGTGAATCGCCATTGAAGCTAGCATAATTTTCACTCAGATCTCGAAGTCGAAATTTACATGCATATCTCTTAGTAACATCCATCGAGCCTTCCAGACTCCAAAAGTTCATTCAATTACATTGCAAAGTGACGAATGACATTAAATTTTTCTTTGAATCCTCATGGTTCCCGTGCGACATTAGTCTGTCCACGTTGAAAATCAGGAATATGATAATGGATGTTTGAACCTTTGTAGGGAGCAATATAACCTTTTGTATTTGGATATCTGGTATCTACAAGGTAAAACTTACATATTGAGGTACAAGTAAAGAATATGATTCTTATTCATTTATATCGTTTGAAAATATAAAACTTTTATTAATAAATAATAATACTAACCATCGGCTGGAAGTGGAAACTTAAACTCACGTCTCCTTCGCGCTTCATTGAAAATTTTCGTGTCATGTGCACTCCTCTCCCATACATCCCACATGAAGGTAAAGCACATGTTGAAATCAGATGCTGACATAATATTTTGAGTAACACAATTCTTTCATCCAAGGTATTTGATTTGGTCACGTTGCAGAACAGAGGCCTTCACGTGTGTTCCATCGATAGCACCAATAGAATCCTAAAAATTCAAAAAATATAATAAGTTACCAATTATTTTTAAAATTACACAAATTCACCAAATAGCATAACTTTGCAACAATAAGTACCTTGAAGTATGGATAGTACCGAGGGTTATTTAAAATATGTTATGGTATAGTTTCGTTATAGTTAGCATTTGGTTTGGTGATATCCTTACTTAGGTTAACCATAAAATCCAAGACTTTATGAAAATACCTATGGATTGTTTCCCCAGAATGGTTAAATAACTCTTGAACTAGCCGATTTCCACATCCATACGCTAAGTACAACAAGAAAATACCAAGGAAATCTTGAATAGATACACAACATGATTTCTTTAACCCATAATGTGCAACAAGATCCCTACATAACATGTTGAAAACTAGGAGTTGTAATCTAAAAAGTTGATAACATCGGCTCTCATGATCGTTAAGTATTTCATTAATAAGCATGCATCCTGTGTGCGAAGATGAATGACGACGTCGATATACATATTTCGATTTATGAGTCAATAGTGACTCTTTGACAACAAGTCCACATAAAAGAAGTGTTTGAATCTCTTTATTTTCCTCAATTTCATCACATGAGTCATCACTGTCATATGATTCTATTGGGTTTTGAGCATTCTAACACTTCCTAAGTATACATGCAACCCTAATAAACCTTGGATCTATGTTTGTCTAAGGTACATGCAAAATATTATTTTCCAAGGTTTATAACCTTTCTAGCATGGCATGGGGTAATTTTAAACATAAAAGAACTAGATGAATTACATACCTTTTGTTGATTGTTGATTCCTTGGAATTTGAGAGCCAAGCACCAATAATGTGAATGCCTCAAATGGAAATCACAAATCACCACAATCTTGTAAAATGTTTTAGAAAGTATGCTAACACTTAGAAATCGGCCACCTTTATTACACACACACTAGAGTGGTTTTTCATGCAACATAAGTTTTTTTATATAGTGTGCATGGTTAGGGTGAAACCCTAATAACCCATGTCTTTTCCTCTTCCAAGGATCCATGGGTTAAAGTTCCATGGATCATCCATGGACTTCCATATAAGCTTATCCCACTAACAAATGAGTATTAGCCCACACCATATAAATGTAATATCCCATGATTTAATTAGTCTTCCTTTTAATCACTAAATTAATTCATAATTAATTCAAGATTAAAACTAATTAAATAACATGACTTTATATTAATATATTATAACTTATAATATATTAATAAATCGTAAGTATACAATTCTCATAAAATTATCCATAAATAGTTTGGATGAAGTGAAACCCAAATGGACCATGACGGGTCGGGTCAAGTATATACCAAATAAGTTATGGACTTAGACAACTTATCCAACAAATTCGTCACTTTCACAGTCACTAGCCATAAAGATAACCTGTAGAGTATGTCTCCAACTACTTCTCTTTCTCTATAAGCCTCTTGAGAAACTCTATATTTGTTTCATTAGTCTTTGGAACCATAAAATTCTGACGAGCTTGCTTCTTTAAAAAGACCTTTAACGCTCCCAAATATCTTATTGAGCCTTCTTCAAAACCTGGGAAAGTAGATAAAATTGCCATGCAATCTTCTATTGTCGGTGAGTGTGTGGTTTGTCTTGAGGGTTGAGTGCTCCTTGTTAAGAAAACATCAAAACAATGTCCACTTTCTCTTCATATGACGATCTTACCGTACTTTTTCCTTCATTTTTTCCTTTAAATTTACTTTTTTTGTCACGCATGGGAGTTAACTCCCCCTCCTTTTCTTACCAGAACTATCATATTTGAGAAAAGGATCAACATCATCAAATAAGAGGACTTCGTAAGTAGCTTCTTTTCCATCTGTAATATCCACAAACTGTATATCATCCGGAGTGCTACTATCGCCAAATTTGCAAGGTACCTTAGCCTTGTCTCCAATAGGTATGGTATCTTGAAAAAAAAGCCTCGTAATATGTCTAATATACATCCAAATTCTTAACCTTAATGTTAGCATACTCTTTATCTTCTTATATGTACAAAATGAGAATGACATGAAAAAAACAATACAAATAATAAATTGGTAGATAAATTTATAATTATTAAGTTTATTTTCTCATCCTACCATTCTTTTAATGCTAAGATTATATTTCTCATGGGAGTAATTGAAATTCATGTTTCAAGTCTTGTTACACGGTCATCATATTTGAACTCTTTCTGCATAACGTTCCATTTGTTTTTCATTTGATTTATGTCCAAATCTTTACCCGTTTGTTCCAAAAGCCTCTGACATATATTTTGGCACACAGGCTTATTGAAATAAGTACCCGGTTTGTTCCTGTTTTTTAACTCGTTCATACATTCCTCAAGAAACATCTTGAATGTATGAGAATCCCAATTAAATCTATTTGTAACTTTCACTTTGGATGTATCAATACCCACATTATGAACATTGACAGTGTCCATTACCTATATTATATCATGATAATGAATGAAAAAATTATGAATTTTCACCGTAATGTTGAATCAAAAGAAAAAAATAGGTAGTATGAATAGCAAACAAAAATGCAAACACGTAGAAGCAAAAAATAGATAACATCAATAGCAATCAAAAGATAATTCTGAATTTTCTGTAGCAACAAAAGTTAAAAGAAAAAAAACAGGTGGCATCAATATCAATCAAAAGAAAATTCTTAATTTCTGTAACAACAACAATCAAGGATGAAGATAAAAAGAAACATCGATGACTTCCTTTTCGATTTATGCATGATGAAAAAAAATATTTGTTGATCAAGAAAGGGTTCCAGGTCGATTGCTTCCAGACGAAAAAAAAAGGGAAGAAATCGTTCATGCATGTCTATTGATACAAGACGAAAAAGACGCAAACCTGATCATTGATTGCTTCCAGGTCATCGATGGCTTGGCACATCGAGCAGGAATAGTGAACGGCAGAAGTGTTGTGAAGGATTTGTTGATCGAGAAAGGGTTTATGGGTTATGTATTGCTTTTTTAGGGTAATTTGGTAAATTTTCAAATCACTAACGGTCAGTAAGTGTGGGAAGTGTTTTAAGACTGCGGGGTAGCTCGTAGTATTCAATAGTCCTTGTGTAGTTATGAGATTTTGGCAAGGTTGTGATATGCCCATGAATTTCTCCTGATGGTTTAAACTAGGGTGGACCTATTTGTAAGGCGGTGGGAGGACAAAGCATGTCTGTAATCGGAAATGGGTAGGTTGTGGGAGACGAAGTATAAGATAAGGCTATATTTGGTCCAACAATATTCAGTTTAGCATCAGGTGGGTGTTGTGATGATTCAGGTAATTATTGTCAGTCGAGGTTTTCTTTTGAAAATCGTGTAGGGCGACTGTGTGAGTGTCTTCTGACTCCGCAACTGGGTGGGTATCCAATATCTTAGATAGTTGGCAGATAAGTTGGAACCAGGGAGGTCTTAGTCGCGTTTGGAAAACATCAAGGGAATCTGAGTTGGAAGTATTTTGTTTAGTCTAGGCTTTTTTTGGAATTGGTTTGATAGTGATTTAGAGTGGGTGGTATGTCAAGAAGTCAGGTCAATTTGAGATTTTGGGTTTCAAGAGAGGTAGAAAAGGGCTTAAGGTTCGTTCTTCTTCAAGTTGGTGAGTTTTGGTAGCATTGGTTTTAGTTTCCTTGGGAAGGCGATAGTCCTCTCGGGTTGTGGTAGCGAGACTCTGATTGTTTGGTGTGTTGAGAAAAGTAAGGATGGATTTCAAGGACGAAATCTAATTTAAGTAGGTGAGAGTTCTAACAACCAAAATATTGAAGAGGGATTGTTGAGAATTAACCTATTTCAAGTTAAACATGGCGAGTTGGAGGAACTAACTCAACGTGTTTAAGATGGAAGAATCATGAAGATTAAATGAACCAACTCGACGAGTTGAGGTGCCTCAACTTGGCGAGTTGGTGGTTGGGAAGGAAACTCTAATTTATAGGGTGTTTCACTCTATTTAAAGGTAGTGAGTTCCTTTGGTTGGCCTCTTTATCAGCCTCCATTATAATCAAAATGCTAAAAACAAGTTGTAGCCTCCATTGTAAAGCATTTGAGCCTTAGAAGGAAGTTTGGTGTCCATTTTGTACATTGCAAAGCAGTTAGAAGATCTTGAAGTTCTAAGTGTGGGGGAGAGGTCTTGGATCCAGAATCATTATGAATTTTGCAAGGAGTTTGAGGTATCAAGTTCTTATCTTGATGGCTAGATGTTTAGATCTTTCTTTTTAGGTTAATTGTTATGTTTGAGTCATGGGTTAGATGGATGTTGGGATTAGGACGTCCCAAAGCCTTATTCTTTTAGATTTGGGGTTTTCATTGAATCTTATCGCAAAAAGCTGTCGACTTTATGGATTTAAGGGTTTTATGCATTCTTTAAGTCTCTTATTAAGCCCTTTATGAGCATTTGAGCCTCTCCTAGTTATGCATGAGTGTAAATTTGGAAACTTTATGTGGTCTTTCAGTTCTAGGGTATCAAATTAGGTGCATTGTCTTTGATTATTAAGTGTTTAATGGTTAAGCCCTTATTCTTTTAAGTCTAGGGTTTGGGCTTGGACCCATTTTTGTGGTTCCTAAGGGTAAAGTTGGAAACTTAACCTTCTATATCTCATATTGGTTGAGATTAGAGTTGTGAAGCACTGGGAGTCACTAATGACGACTTAATGTATTAAGATGTAGGTTTCTGAAGAACTCACCAAGTTTATGGATAAGCTCGATGAGTGGGCTCGATTTTTCCCGACTTTGTTGTTTATAGAGGAACAAAGAGAATTAAAAGACAACTCGGCGAGTCGGGTCAAGTCAGGATGTTGACCTTGACTTTTAAAGTTGTCTTTGACAAAGTATTTCTACACAGGGGGTATTTGATGTGATCAGAATTGTAATTAAGAAAATTATAGGCTTAGGATAAAACCAAGATGGGGTTGGGCCTAATTTGGAAAATTGGGCGATTAGTGGGCATTTGGGGAACTTTTGGATTTGGGCCTCAGTTTTGGTTCATGTTGGGTTAGTGGTAAATGGTCATTTTACCCCAATTAAGGATCATGGATTATAGCTTGGAACCCAATTTCTAATTAGGTGTGTTGTAGGTATTGATAGCTCGGGAAGCCGGCAGGACAGTAGTTTGGGATTTCTTTCATTGAGCTTCTACATTCATGGTGAGTCTCCTCACTGTTCTATGGGTTGAACGCACCAATATCGTCCCACTTTGTTTATGTATTGGCAGAAGAACCGAGGGTAACCCTTGGCAGTTTGTATGAAAGACCAACACGCGGCTCCCAGAAAACTTTATGCAAGACCAGAGTCTGAACTCTGGCAGTCAAATGCTTAAGTAGTGCAGATTGTATGATATTTGTCCTTGTGATACTTTCCTGGAAGACCCAGAGGTGGCTCCTAGAACTTGTATGTAAGACCCAAGTTTTTGGCCCCCGACCTGGCAAGGAAGACCATGAGGTGGCTCGTGCCATGATGGCAAGACTATGGATGAAACATAGCACTTTAATTGATTATGATATATGTATGATATGTATGGCTCGATGTTATAAAGGTTAGTTATGGTTCAATTAGTATGTGCGGTATGTGGTATTTGGGGAACTCACTAAGCTTTGTGCTTACAGTTTGGGGTTTATGGTTTATGGTTTATGGTTTCAGGTACTTCTAGTTCGATAGGGAAGGGCTCGGTTTGATAGCAGCACATCCACCCGTGTTTTCTACAATATGTGATCTTGGGAATGAACTCTGATAAATTTTTTGTATTGAAATTTTTTGAAATGTTTGGAAAAGATTACTCTAGTCTTTTAAATATAATAAAAATAGATTTTTCACCCTCGATTTTTTGGGATGTCACATATACGTATTATGGTTATTTTATCGTGAAATAACCATTTCACACAACAAATACTACAAGATATAAAATTTTATGATTTTTAATTGACATTGTGTATGATAACAAACACGTTATAAAATTTTTTTGTATTTTAAGAATTCAAACTATTACTATGAATGTTTATTTGTATGTTTAAGTACACAATGTTTATACATGTACATATGCTCATTAATTTGAAAAAAATAAATAATAAAAGTGAGCACACCACACTTTTTCATGCATGTCAAACATACTCGGATTTTATAAACATTGTACAACGATATTCATTATGGCTAGTGACTTAATTATAATTAAGTTAGGGCTGAGAGTTATTCACAAATTTTTTAGTTAAGGGCTTTTTAGTGAGACGTTTCATTATTCATTAGCTGAGTTTAAAAACTTAGCCTACCCACACTACTATAACCGTTAATCTTCAGAGCGAGATACATATGTATAGATCTATATGGAGTATACATCCCCACCTGCGTTTGCTAGCTACAACCCTCGACCGATCAATTAAAGTGGATGATAGGTGTCTACAATTTTTACTACAATGTCCAATGAAGCATTGTAGGGGGTACACTCAAGTCATATAGCTCGGTTATAGAAGTCACTATAAACATTAACTAGAAAATATCTTTCTCACTAACAACAATGGGCTTTGTTGCTTTCAGAACTCTTTTTGAGTATCGAGTTACTTATGTAACATAACAGTTTGATTTTAAAGGATATTCAATGGTTTATTATGGCTTTTAAGTATCGATTTACTTATACAAAGATACATTTTGTCTTTGAAAGACTCATTGCAAACACTTTTCCAATTCTAGTTATTCATACAAAGATAATACTTTTTGGACTTTTTAAAAGTATTCGTACGGTTAGCATAAAAACTGTAACACTCACCACCCTTGTGTTGACCCTCAAAACTACATGTATTCTCAGGAATCACTAAACAGACATTCAAGACGAATTGTATTACAGGTGACATAGTTTATTGTCGTTGTATTATATGCCTATCAGTTAAGGCAATTCATGTATTATTATTATTATTTGTAAAAAAACCTTATATTCAAACATCAAAATGGAATGTAAATGCTATTTTGTTTATTGTTGTACTAGTGTTATATATTCAGTTTACCTGCGATCCATGAACTTAGTCGCACAGCCTGATGTGTTCTGCCGTCTCAACCGGGGGTGTGACAGATTGGTATCAGAGCTAAATGGGCTATAGAGAACACGTATCCTCAAAATAGGAATACAACTATAGCAACTAGCTTCTAATAAAACTATTATGAATATTAATTGCACTACTTATGGGCTACGTACGGTATGGGGAATTTTTGAAGGGATGTATAGGGTTATTCGATTTCAGAACGGCTTAATTGCTAAAATAGTCCTGCTCTCCGGTGTTTCCTATCTGGCCCTCATCCGTACTTGGTAGTCTTGGAGTAGAAAACAAAAATTAATAATACTGCAACCTCCACCAACAATAATATATAAGAGTTATATATACTCTGATCCGCGATGAGAGCACTTAATAAAATTCTAACATGCCTCCAACTAAAACTACAAACTTAATCCTTTAGGTCAAACGCCTAAATTAAGGTTAGTACCATACATAAGTCATACCATAAATAAACCTGGAATGTACGCCTATGTTGTTTATGATCGGGCTAGTAAACAACAAACCTTGAGCGAGGAGTTAGACAGACTATAATGGTTGAAAGTTTTAAAGTCTGAAGGATGTTCTCAACATTCACTATAGAAACCTAGTACCTAAGAAACCTTATATCAGCCCCAGAACAACATATACGATAAAAATACTTAAAAATCTAGGATAACGATCTAATTTTTCTAGTTCTTCTAAACCTAAAGAAGAACCAATAGCTCCATTACTATCGTAGAAGAGAAACCCCTAGTTCCCAATTGATCATTCAATAATCTCCAAACTTATCTCTCTATTATTTGAAATGGGTAGGATTTCAAGTCACTCTCTATAATTTGGAAAAATGTAGGATTTCTAGAATCGATCACCCTCTATAATTTGGAAC